TTTAATTGACGAAAGACGAAACTAGGTTTCGCATTTCGTCAGCGCGAAACCTCGAGGTTTCGTCTAACAACTATAGTATGTATGCACGTAAAATCGGGGTTTTTTTTTATCTCATCAAAATCAGTCTCGTCAATTCACCAAGAACGGTATTTTACTACATGTTCTAAAAAAATTTTTTGCTTATTCTGATATGATTGCTATCAGTCATTTGAAGAGATCTGATTGATCAAAAATTGCTTATCTGAAATCAGCATAAGCGTCTTAGAGTCGTAGCAATGCATATATTATGTATTCACTGTTATTAGGTGTCACGTTTCTAGCAATAACTATTAGAACCATGGATAAGCCAGGACAAGCAATAACCATGGCTAAGCTGAAACCATGGCTTTTAAGAGCCAAGTCGAGCCGTTCAAGCCGTTAATTGCTCTACTAGTTTGTATTATTCAAATTGTATTATTCAAATGCAGCACACCTATCTAACATTTGTTTCTATAGAATCCAATGAAGTACCACGAAATGCATCAAGTTCTTCAACAGATGAAGAAGACGATGGACTTTTACAAGAAGTTGATAGACTTTTAAGTGAATATAGTATTAATGAATCTGGTAATTATTCATTTCAAAGTACAAATATACAAGCATTGGCGTTATTATTATTATGTTTTAATTAACCATTTCTAATCCATTATTTTAGAAAATTTGGATGATGAAAATAGTATAAATTACGATGATGGTAAATTATCTTTCATTAGAATTATATACAGGTGTCGTCAATCAAAACATGTCTCTCATGCCACTGTCGGATTTAAATCTCACGACGTTTTGATTGATAACTTCCCATACATATAAAAAGAATATTTAACTAATATGATTATGTCTTTTTTTTACAGTAGATTTCATGGAGGATGATGTAGATAAATTACTCGAAGAAATGCAATGAATCTATTAATTATTTAATAATATTGTCTGATTTATATTCTAATATTAGTAGTTCGAACAATAAATTTTGGAGTATAGATAATGTATAATATTTAACGTTCCTATTCTTTATAAAAAACCCCCTTTATGTTAAATAGATTCAAGTATTTCTTAAAGTTACAATTCTTTTATAATTTATCTAGATTCGTTAAGAGAGATAAAATAATTTTAAGACTGATTAGGTTTTAACAAGTTTTAAAGCCTATTTTTTTATTCTATTAAATTGTTTTTTTTAATATATTTTTTCATTCTGTGTAAAGAATTGGTTAATATTGAATTAAAATAGAAAAATTTTTTAAAAAATGAGGCCAGGTTGTAATTAAACAAATTTTAATTTATATTTAAAATTTCGTCGATAAAGGTTTGTATGATTGACGTATTTGATGGAGCTCCAATTGCAAACGTCAAGATGATTTGAGTAAAAAAAATGATACTATTAAAACAAATACATACCACCATTTTTTTTTTTACGTAAGGCGTTACTTCAAATTATTTACGGTAGATATAATTTAGATGGTGGAATAAAAATTCATAATATTTATCGAAATGTTGGTGTGAAATATAAAATTATATTAATTAGCTGATTTCGTAGTAAATTTTACATTCTAATTGATAAATCGATTCATTGGTAGATGGTGTTTATATTTTCGAAAGTTACTTGTATGGGTAGAATTAGAAATTGCGTATCGTATACGTATGCTTTAAATATCTTTTAAAAAATGTATATAATTATGGATTTTCTTTATAATCACGAAATAAACATTATTAACAATTGTATACAGATAATTTCAAACCTTAAATAAGTATATAATTTATTATTATTATACGTAGTGAATCCAAAAAATTTTTTGTAAAGAAATAGTAAAGAAAAACATATAACCCGATTCATAAACTAATGTAAAGTCCTTTTTTCTAAATTATTTATTATACTTTTTTTTTTTTGAAGAAGAATAATTTTGTTTGTCCAACGCATTAAGTTATAACTTGGAATTCAACTTTTCATTTTTTCTCTCATTTGTTATGTTTGACATAGCTGCTTCAATAAGTTCAAAAGCCTCTAAACATGAGCCCCAACTTGATGAATATCCTAAACATAAAATCAAATGCATGTAAACAATTGATATAACATATTATAACGCGTAGGATTAAAAAAAGAAGAGAATAAATTACCGTATGTATGATGACCATAATTATGGCAAATTATAATATCTTTGCCTTTATCATCTTTTAGCATCTCTATTTCAAGTCTAATACCATCGGCTCTAGTTGGTCTTCGCCCAACATTGTGGCTTATTATTTTTAATGCTTGAACACCTTTGCCTAATGTTAATTCCGGGCACAATTCTATACATCGTTGAATAATTAATTCGGCAGTTTTCAAATCGGGTCTATCGCTTCTAATCGTAGAAATAGAGTAATGCTAATATTTTACACAATTATATATTTTAAAAAATAATTATGATAGATGAATTGAAAATTTACAAATTATTTTTTTCTAGAGTTCCTCCAAGAACTACTTCGCCGTCTTCTCGAGGGATGATATACGATATGTAATCGGAATCTTTAGGTGTAATATATAGATATATAAATAAAAAAAAGTGATAAAAAATAGAAATAGTATATAAAACATACTTGACCGATAATATATAGTCTTAACATGTGGTGCCCACACAATTACAGTTTGACCTCTAGTAGGAGTCACAGTATCATCTTGAACACCACCAAATGTTCGTGCATTGAGTCCTGTGCAATTCACTACAATATCAACATCATCTTCGAATGATTCATTGATGTGAGAAAGATGGACCTTTTTAATTTTACCGCCGGCACACAAAAATTGTTTGAGAAGCCAGCGTATATATCTAGGTCCGTGTATAGTAACTATTAATAAACAAGTTTGATAATGAAATCGCACATCAGACGTAGAAAACAAAGGATATAACAAGTATAAAAAAAAAACGGATAAACTATTAACTTGTTGTATAAGATAAACCAAATTCTACACCTGGTGGAAGTTTTCTTTGAGGCAGTATGCGAAACTAGAATAGAAATTTTATAAATTGAGATTATAAATAAAAAGTGAAAAAGGAAATTGAATAAATAATTTTAAATAATTGAAAAATCATACCTTCGGAACAAATTCTTTTAACCAACCATCTTGACTCAATTCAGGTTTTTTATCCATATAATCATATATCGTTGTACTCATTAAACCAGTATCAGGTGTATGCAATAAGGTCCAAAATGCTTTAAACGAAATTCGTTCGAACTCTATGAAAGATTATTATCATTTTTTAGATATTTATTTAAAAGTTTAATACAAATTTTATCTAGGTATAATGTCTTACAATAAATACTTCGACACGAATTTTCAAAAAAACCAAAACTTCGACTTCAACATTCTACTTACTATCCACATTTTTTGCATTATTAAGATAAAAGTGCGGTCTCCAAGCAGCGCCGGCCCAAGGACTTGTATAATTTATATCAGAATCACCGGGCCAATGTTCAGCGAGGATTTGAACTTGATACCCATTTCGTTGTAGAATTAAGGCGGTGGTAATACCTATAACACCAGCACCGATAACATTAACTTTTTTCTTACTCATATTAACGTTAAAAAAAAACCAAGGGAAATAAGCCGAGGGAAGTTAGCGTATTTATATATAATATATATAATGAATTATACGTATAATGATTTATATAACGATAATGGTTTAATATGTGTGTACCCTGAATGATATTATCCAAAGTCTATTTTTCTGATCATCAACCGAATAAATCGACCTGCATTTGTGTTACGGTACTTATCTTATCTCATTCTATCACTATCTCATAGTGTATAGCGAAAAAGAAAAAAGTAAATTAAACGCCGAGAAAAATTCTGCGGGGATCAATCAAACCTCAAGATCAAGTGTAGCCTGAAAATAAAAATAAAAAATAATCGCATTTTCTTGCGAAATTTTGATACACTGCGAGATATTCACTATTTTGAGATTTATAAGCTAGAAAGTCGAGGTTGATCTGAAGAAAGTTCGGTTTAGTCCGACTCGATAATGTACATCGATAAGCAATTTTGTACTTTGAGTTTCATGTTTCACGTTACACTAAAGTTAATTAGTTTCATACATAATTGATTTCTGAACTCTGAATGATGTCATACTCTTGAAATTTTTTTAATTGGTGAACATGGTGCGAATAATTCCTCGGCATCAATGCTACTACAACAAATATTCCGAATTTCACAATTATGTATAAGATCTACATATTTAAGCATTGTTTCTTTTTACAATGTTTGTCGATTAGCAGAAATTTTTTATTTAATTCACATGTTACAATTAATAATTTTAATAATTAGAACTTGATATTTATAGAAAAAAAGTTCGATCAACCATATTCGAATAATAAGAGTTCTAAATCAGTTAATCTTTTTTTCAAGTTTAAAATGAAATGTTTTGGCAAAGATCTTATCATTTTAAATATGTATCAAAATTTTTCATGATGACAAGTATTTTACTAAAATAAAAACAACTAATGCGCAAATAAATCTTTTATTCAAGAAAAATTTTCCAATTTTGACCTCAATAATGGGGTGATTCAGAATTAAGGTTCGGGTTTCTGATTTCTTATTTATTTTGAATTGTGAGCTTATTTACATAATAACTTTTATGATCGTGAACATTCTTTCGAGACTTGATATTTTTTCATATATATTTTTAAAATGGCTTATATTTCTGATCGACAATTACATATTAAAAACATATATAGTATTTTAGAAGTATTAATAGAAGAATGTTCTAATAGTACTCATAAAATATAGAAATCAAACAATTGAATAGGTCGATATCTTACTATTCCAGTATTCGTTAAAAAACTATCAAGTTTTAAGATTTTTTTCTCAAGTTCTCTTCTTTAATGGTTTGTTTATCGTGCTTTTCAAATTACGATCAGCAGATGATCACCAATCACGTAAAAATCTCATTTTTTAAAAATTGCCACTTATAAAGTCATAATTCCAAAGATTCCTTGTCGAATTCTAATTCATTAGTATATCATCCATTTAAATATAATACAGTACACCCTCTCAAATCCGATATGCATGGTGGACAGCTTTTGTATCGGTTTTGAGAGGTTATCGGATTTAAAATACTAATGACCTGTTGTCACATGATCATAACTAACTATAATTGGCTGATTATATTTCTTATATATCAAATATAATAGATATCTGATGGATTTTAATTATGTAACTAACATGATGGATCAATTTTTTATCAGTTATAGCAGGTTATCGGCTTTGACAGGATCGGTTTTGGGAGGGTGTACTGTATCTTGTAATTGTCCAATCAAAGAGCACTAATATTTTACCTAAACTTTCTCAAACTTTATCTTTATAATGTCTGCTTATTATCGATATTCGAAGCTATTTTCAAATTCTACTGGCTAGTAAAATTTTAAAATGGACTTAAGCATTGAAATCGATCGAGCCATTATTGAGAAATTTATACATAATACACAGTACAATTACGTAGTATGATTTTGGCCAATCCCAGGCTTGCATTTATCTCCGGATAACTCTTTTTTCTGATTTCAAAATTTCAAAATAGAAATAGGTCATTTTGTACCCCCACTTATTTCGAAATATGTTAATTATGAATCACCCAATATACGTACTATGTTTTTTTTCCTTAAGAAAAATAGGTAGATACAGTAGATATGATTATATTCATGGATGAATATAATCATTCAAATATGAATGTTCTAAAGTTTCTACATTGTGAAGTGGGTTCATATTCAAAGAGAGAAAACTTGATATATATATTATTAAAATCTAATCCTGTTTTTGGGTAACTTTTTCTCATTTTTATCGAAAAGTTTATAATGAGTATCCAAAAAAAATCTTTAAAAATTATGTAATCACACATCTCATCATAAATATATTTGCCATTACTCAAGAATCCT